AAAAAAAACATATGCAGTTGTATAATCCAATTTTTTTTTGTTTTAACAATGTAGCAACTTATACTTCTTTTTATACTGTTGTCCTGAGAGAAAAGTTTTCTCTTTTTGTTAACCCTACCCTACCCGACCTCTCCCTTATCCCCATCCCCCCTCCCCCTCTTAACCGGTGGACGACTGGCTCTGGGTTCCAATTGTTTGTCTAATACTCAGGTTTTCCCATTTAGAAAAATGAATAGTGAGAGTTCCCCTCATTGCTGCCAATTTCCTTTCTTCTACTTTATCCCCTATTATACTATTCTTTATTTCATTAAAAGAGGGTGGTTTTTTAAGTTCTCTATTTCTATAAATCAGATATTTAACAAGAATTAAAACATGATTCATTAATTGATATTTTCCTTTATTTCTCTCCTCTTTCCCATACAGAATTTCCTCCAAACTACAGTTATGTATTTCAAAGTCTAAAAATCTCGTGCACATTTCCCACACTGATTGTGCAAATTCACAAGTATAGAATAAATGTTTATATGTTTCTTCATCTTTTTCGCAAAATGAGCATAAGTTAGTCGAGACAAGACCAAAACGGAAGAGGTGATGGTTTGTATATAATATATTATGTATAAGTTTGAACTGAAACTCTCTTAATCGACTGTTAAGTGTACACTGTCTTAGTCTTAAAAATATGTTTTCTATTTCCTTACAGGAAAAACCATAGTTCCTTCCAATTCTCTCAAAAACCAAAGGTTTAAAATCATCTTTCTTTATTAATTGTACATAAATTTGTTTTGATTTTAAATCAGCTATATTAGTTGTTTTCTTCCCCAAAGTGAAATCAGTTCCAGAATTATTTTTTTCTTCTCCCTTTCTAAAATTATTTTTCCAACAAACTGGTAAACAGGCATACTAGTGCTTGATCTTTTCAATTTCATTTACTTCAACACCTAAATCGATAAAATGCCTGTCACTTTTTAGTTTACCATCGTTTTCCAGAATATGTTTTAATTTGTAAATTCCTTTGTCATACAACCTCTTATCGTATATACAACTTCCTTTATATCGAATAAGTTTATTATTAAAAATTACCACATCACCAATGTCTATACTCCTTATATGTCTCGTATTCACCCAATCTTCTAATAAATCCATATAAAATTGTGGAGCTGTCACTTTTAATAAACTTGGTATATAGTCACATGAAAATATCAAATCTCCACCCACGTGTTCAGTGACAAAGTTAAAATATTGTTTCCATTTCATGTCTTCATCTTTGTTTAAAAGTTTTTGAATCCACATAATTCGCTGCGATTTAACTTGTGCAGAAAAATTTAACATCTTTAACCCCCCTTGGTTATAGTCTAAGAACATGGTGTTTCTATTGATTTTATCTGTTTTTCCTATCCATATGAAATCAAAAGTTAATTCATCCAGTGAATCATAAACCCATTTTGGAACAGGAGTAAGTGACGCCCGATAAAGAACTTTAGAATAAATGTGCACTTTCAATAGTTGAATCTTACCCATAAGTGTTAATCCCTTTGCTTCCAAAAATTTAAAAGTGTTTTTATTTTACTTAATATTTCTTTATAATTTAGATCTTCTTTCTTGTGTTCATCGAGGGAAAAGAAAATCCCTAAAACCTTAAGAAAGTCAACTATTTCGCCAAAAGCAAAATCACAATCTAAACGTTGACATGAACCTAACCTTAATATTTTAGTCTTGTCGTTGTTTATTTTCAGTCCAGAAATTTTTTCGAAATCTGCAAATAATACTTTTAACCTATTAATTGATTTTTTATTGCGAACAAAAATTGTCATATCATCCGCATAAAGTACTAGTTTAGTTTCCTTATCTCCAAAATTAATTCCGTCCACCAATTTATCTATTCGTAATTTGTGTGCCATTACTTCAATACACAAGATAAAGAGGTACGGAGAAAGAGGGTCTCCCTGTCTTACTCCCCTTTCTACTTTGAAATAACCAGTGGACCCTCCTTCATTTAATACACAACTTAGAGTGTTCATGTATAAAACTTTAACCCACTTTTGAAAGGACGGACCGAAACCAAATGACGACAGAACTTTTTGAAGAAATTGATGTGAAATTGAGTCAAAAGCTTTTTCGAAGTCTACAGCTAACAAAAAACCAGATAAATTGTAACGGGATGTATGAAAAATAAAATCATCTATAATGCGAATGGCCTTACCAATATTCCTCCCTTTCATGTAGCCCACCTGATCTCCCATAATGATCTCATTTAATACTTTCTTGATTCGCTTAGCCAAAATTTTTGTTAAGATTTTATAATCGACATTAAGAAGGGAAATGGGTCTATAATTTTTCAGTGAAAAGGGATCTTTCCCATCTTTAGCGATTAACGTAATTACAGCTTGTTTTTGAGACGATGCTAATTCTCCTAATCTATATGCTTCATTCAAGGCATCTTTAACTAAATCTCCAATATTCGGCCAAAAGGTACGATAAAATTCTGAAGAAAAACCGTCATTTCCAGGTGATTTGTTCTGTTTTAATTCTTTTAAGATTTCTAGGCATTCTTTATTACTTATAGATCCTTCACAGTATTTTCGAGATTTTTCAGTCAATTTCGGTAAACCTTGAAAGAAACTATTATAACAATTATCCGAGCACTCGTACTCTACTTTACTGTACAACATGCTGTAAAACTTCCGGATTTCTTCAGTTATCCTTTTTTCATCGCAGCAAATAGCACCATCTGAGGTTTTAATTTTTTTAATAGTACTCTTTCTTTTGTTATTTTGCATTAATTGATTGAAATAACGCGAATCCCTTTCTCCGCTTTCGTACCACGAGGCTCGTGATCGAATCCTAATTCCTTCATTTACATAGCTATAAACTTCCTTTAATTTCTTTTTTTTGTATTTTCCAATTTTTCTTAAGTATCTGCATTAGTGCTTTCCGTCAATTGTTGTTCTAAACATTGTATTTCTTTTTCTAAATCTGTTCGTATTGTTCTTATTTGATCAGCCAATTTTTTTGAAAATTTTTGTGTAAAGCTCCGAATTTTCATTTTTTTTAAATCCCATAACAACCTTTTGTCTTTTATTTTAGTTTGCAGTTCGTTTTTTAATTGACAAATTTTCTTTTTTAACTCTCTAACATAATCTTCATTTTCACATAAACTATTATTGAATTTCCAATATGACCCTTTTCTTCCATTCGTTTTATTGACTGTTTTGTCAAATAAACGTAAAAATATTGAATGATGATCAGGGGCAACAGATGGAATTATATCGCACTTCATAACCATTTCCTCTAGACATTCTGATATTATCCAGTAATCTAGTCTACTTTGCATAAAGGGATTGTTTTGCATATAAGTGAATTGCCTTTTTAAAGAATGCCTACATCTCCAAATATCCAAAAGCTGCAAATCTTCCATGAATTTTTCAAATTCTCGATTAAATCTTTTCGAAATCCTGTTTGAAGATTTCCCGTTATAATCAAATTCAATGTCCCTAATCATGACAAAATCACCACCTATTATAACCGGGTAGTTATCTTTATTTAACTTAGCCAGATTATTGCGTAATTTTCGAAGAAATTGCAATTGATCACTCTCAAAATTTCTTGTTGGAAAATACACATTGCCTAAAATCAACCTAACACCTTGAAACTTACAGTCTATAAAAATATATCTACCCTCACTGTCTTTTAAGACTTGCAATATCTCAATATCTATCCTCGGCGCAATCAAAACGAGAACTCCTTTACTGTGATTAGAACCATGACTAAAATAAGTAGAACCCTCCCACATTGAAGCCCACTTGTCCACACAATCGCTAGTACTAAATGTTTCTTGTAGGAAAACAATGTCCGCCCCTTTATCTTTACACCAGAAAAATATGCGTTCCCTTTTATCTCTGTCCCTGATCCCTTTCACGTTGAGGGAGAACAATTTACAATTAATCAGAACATCCATAACCTATCACACACAAGAAAATTTAACCCAGTCCCAGAGCCAATCCCCCACCTTAAAGGACCCCACGAAAAGCAAGAACGAAACCCCGTCATCTGGGAAAGAAACTGATACATGTAAGGCATGCAATATTGCAGCTCCCCCGCCCCACCCCTCCCACTCTAAAAATTTCTTTTTAAAGGTAACATTCCCGAAAATAAGGCTATAAAGGATTATGTACCCTCTCCACATTGAAGGTGCTATAATAGCCTGACTTACAGAATACACAAAATAAATGCTTCCTTGCAATTATAAAAAAAAAAAACATGTCATGTACGACAATCTTTGAAGGCTCTTGAATCTATTAATCACAAATTGATTAAGTATTCAGGAGTAAATTACATTTCAATAATCAACATATAAAAAGGGAACATCCTTAATAATCACAGGGTTGTAAACCAGTATCTTCCCATATAATAGCTTAACTACCAAGTAAATACCAACATGAAAAACATGCAGCTGGTAAGTACACCTGGGAACAACCCATGTATTTAAATTTTGATTTAGGATAAGAATTATCCGCATAACCTTCTACTATGCGCCCTTTTCACTCTGTTTATTTTCATCTTTCTTAGTCACACAGAAAAGAAATGCTTGACAATCTATTCCTTTGAGGCTTTTGAAGCAACTGCAATTTCAATTTCACCAATTGATGGACGTGTTGTAAGAATATTAAATTTCACAGATAAACAAAAAGATAACATTCTTAAGACGCATGTAGTTCTAAGCTTAAATACTTCTCAAACATAAGGACATTTGACTTGGCAACAGCCCTGAAAAAAAAAAGCAATTAAATTTGACTAAGAATAAGAGTTATCCATTTACATTCTAATGCTCTCCGAAACTACCTCTTTTCTTTTCTTATTAAAGAGTGATACATTTCACCTAACCAACAGTCTCACAATAATAACTACAGACCCTTGGAATTTGCATGCATATAAAAAAGTTTTTTTTTAAACAAAAAGATGACATTCTTGAGACGCATGTAGTTCGAAGCTTAAATACTTCTCAAACATAAGGAAATGAACGCTGGATCTCTATCGATTTAGGAGGTTGTCGCTGATTGGTAGGATGATTCCTTTTGTTTGCGTTAAAACAAGTAGGTCCGTGGTTGAATGACGACGCGATTCATTATACATGTATATCGATATAGGCCTATAGGCCTATAGGCCTATGGCTCTATTATATTCGATACCGTTGACAGAGAAGCAGAACTTGGTTTTGACAGAGAAGCACGACGAGGGTGATTAGCAGGGGTGAAAATAATTCACTACGACTATTATTAGTATTCGGAGCGCATCGTAGGCCTGCATGTGGAACTTTGCTCGCCAGGATCGAAATGTACTTTATTTTCTACTTTTAGGCCGACCTTGTTTGACTGAAGACATGTTGTATGTTGACATCGATTATGTTCTGATCTTCAAAGATACTGTGAGAAGATCAAGCTGATCATTTAGCTCGGGTACCCTGACAGTCCTTTGTTTGGCCAAGAGTCTGGGAGGCTTCGATGACACGCATGACGTTTTTGGATTATAACGGATGACCTGAAACAATTTTGCAACTCGACTATACTCAAAGCAGATCATTATGATGGGGATTTGTAAACAAAAAATCATACATGTTTCCCGTTTCATTTATGTCCTACTTGCTATGACCCTTGTATCCATCTGCACAGTGATTTTCTATGACAGCGACCTGCATAGACATGTGAGAGTGATATCTACAGCGAGGATTTCTTCAAATGGCACCAAAGAGCTCCAACACGCCATTGTGAGTGGCATGAAAGCGATCGATAAAGGTTTGAATAAACTAGAAGTTGTGTCTCTTAGAGGGGCCGTACCATCGGTAATAAACAGGCTAAGTGAAATTGTTACTAACTTTGAACACCGTGTCTTAAATTTCAATGTAGATGACATTCTGAAATCCCTTTCGGATATACCTTTTGAAGAGAGTCGCCTGGTCCACAAGATTCAACAAAAACAGAGAAACGCGGATTTCAAATGTGTCATCAGGATTACAAAGTATTGCTCCAAACGTTGTGACCATATAGTACAACGCATCCATTCGACGGAATGGACGCGATTTAGTTGTGATGTCAACGAGGCTTGTCAAGTTGAGACCCGCTTTGTCGGTAATCTCACTAGAGAGATCATGCAGTCTTCCGATGTTCTATTCATCGTCTCTTCGCTCCATCAAAATCTGCAGCTGGAGCGCTTGGTGGCTTCGCGACCACCAGGACAACTCTGGGTCTTATACTCCAGAGAAAGTCCTAGTCATGATCCAGAGTATGCGCCTCAAGGTCTAACCGGAAACCCTTTCAACCTCACCATGACACACGCCAGAGACGCTGATATACATTTCCCATACGCCACTACGCGGGAGAGGAAACAGGGAGAACCTCCTTCGATACCAAAGAAGACTAAATTGATAGCATGGGTGTCTTCTAATTGTCAACTGTTGTCTTGGCGGCGAGGTGAGTTCGTCAAGGAGCTTCAACAGCATATCTCAGTCGATACCTACGGTAAATGCGGTAGCATGGGCAAGCTCGCCGCTGAGGATACTGCCAAAACGCTAAAACAATACAAATTCTATCTAGCGTTTGAAAATAGTGAGTGTCGGGATTACATCACGGAGAAACCGTGGAGAAATAGTCTCTCTCAAGGTGTTGTGCCAATAGTCTATGGCACCAAGCGCGAAGACTACGAGGAATTGCTGCCCAGGAATTCTTTTATTTTCGTCGAGGATTTCAGCAACATGAGCGCATTTGTGGATTACATTCATGCGCTCGATGAAGACAAAGCGCGTTACAGGGAGTTTTTTAATTGGAGAAGCGAGAGTACAGTGTATTTTACGCGGTCTTCCTCATTCAGCGTTAAAGCCCCTAAAGTGAATATGTGTTATCTTCTAAAGAAACTGGTCCACCTCTTCTTCCATCCAGAGACCTCGTGGCAGAAAAGGACACCCGATTTTGCTTCATGGTGGAGAGGACAGTGCGACGACCCATCCACTGAGAAGAATCTGTTGGGATTCAGTGTTCGCCCGACTAAAAAAAATAAGAAGAACCGAGAAGAGAATAATGTCGTTCATAGATGATGCCTCCAGGCCTATGAACGTGTTACGCTTAACATTCATATTCGAAAGGCCTCATCTCAATTGACTTGTTCCAGAGTATACCTTATATACTGTAACATTTTAGTGGTCTCTGCTCAGAATACAGAGCACTTTAGGCGATAGGTAAGCCCTTTACAGAAAGCTATATATGTATATTTCAGTCGGTAAAGCGTCTGCCTGTCGAACCAAAGATCCCGGGTTCGACTTCCACCCAGGCGGATGACTGAAGCCTGCGTTGTGTGTTAACGTGTCCCTTCCCTTGTTCATAGATGCAGGTTATGTCAAGTGGAAAACACTCCGTCCCTCGGATAGGACGTTAAATGGAGGCCCCGTGTACAGGAGAGTCACAACCCTTGCACGTTAAGAACCCATTGCACTATTCGTATAAGAGTAGGGGAAACCCCGGTGTAATGGTCCACCTGCATACCCCAACCAGGCCGAGTATACGGCATCTGCAAGAATCTTCAGTATTGAAGGAGGCAGATTATCTCGGAGAAGAGAAGAAGAAGAAGACATATCATGTCTATAAGGGCAATGGTTTATTTGTATGATATTGATAAAAAAAAGTTTAAATTTCACTACTCTTAATTATTGGTTATCATCTCTTTTAATTGTGTTTCCAGTTTAGATAAAATGTATTTTACCGCCGTATCTCTTTGCATTCAACGATAGCTTTATACCTGTTAACATTATTGAAAAATGTGATAGGCTTCAATGCAAAGTTCTTTGATGTTATTGTTCTTTTACAAGTTGTAAAAGCTAAAGCATTATTAGATCACCATGATTTGTAAATCTTAGATTCGATACAATACTAGATGCAAACTATATCATGTTTGTAGTGTTGCATCCAGTAACAAAACGACGGAGATAAGATTTTGAAAATACTGTCGCTCCTCAACCCTATTGTATCATTATGGTGTAAGTTATTTTTTAATAAATCTGAACACTTGGTTATTTTAGTACAGTCACTGTGCTTGTGTATGTTAACTCAAATCTGTCCTTTTCCCTGTCTAGACCACCTGTCTATAATGGTCTTCTAAATGATAGTATAGTCACCCTCTAGGACCGAACATGTATGTATTGTAAGATCTACATGTTTCAAGACCAGGCGCCACAACAGCACCAAAATTATATCCTTTGTTAGTAGCTAAAACAATGATTATGATCATCAGGGCCCAAAAATTTGGGGCAGAGAAAAACAAAAATGACTAGATATTTCAATACATATGATATTAGAGATATACGTGAACATGTTAATGTTTCCACGCTGGCAACACTCTCAAAACATTTCCCCCAAATTGAACCGTTTCTTTATTATTTTCTTTTCTTGAGATTCGTTATATGTGTATTGTGTTCATGTTATGATAACATTTTACAGCTGAAAAAATAATTTTGTCAAAAGAATGTTGCAGATTTCGTAATTTAGAGGAGAATATTTCTCGTTTTTTCAACGGCTGGTTCAAACAATCGAATATTTGTGGGACACCACAAATATTAGAAATCGTTATATGTATGGATATTTCGGCCGTCTCTGAACCGATTTCGATCAAACAAAGATTATTTTGTAATTTAAATTGTATGTTCTTTCATATTTGACACTCAGCTTTTCATTATCTCAAATAAAATTATTTTGTGTAGAGCCCTCTGCAACAAAACTCAACTATCCCTTTAAACGAAATACACAGTACTCAAACTTCGACCACATTTCATAGAATAGTGACAAAAGCAACACACGTGTATACTAGATTCTCCTATAATAATTAGAGTGGATGGTGTGGTTACTGAAAAGGGTGAAATTATTAAATTTCTAAATTTCTAAAGTGTTTATTAATGAAACACTGAAATGAAAGGAAATGTATTGAAGTAAGAATATCACGTAAGGTAGGCATACTCTTGTTCCATCGAATATCTTATTTATTATTTATGCTGTACAATACCATGATATTCCCTTTTATGTCATATATGGGCAATACGGATATTATTTATATGTTACAAAAGAAAGCGATCCATGTTTGCTCAAATGCTGGTTACCGTGATCACACAAATCCTTTATTGTATAGTTTGAAACAATAACAGTAAATGATATACATTTTCTATAAACTGCCACTTTCATGTTTCGCCTTCAGAAAAAAAAGGGTCATTGTCAATTCTGTTTCAATTAAGATCCACTCCTACCCTACAGAAAATCTACTAAATAAATTTCCATTTGTACAATCTAAAAACTGTTCTAACCCTTAAATCCATTTGCCACTGACACTGGCCCAGATGTACGGAACAATCTTCCCATTGATACCCGTACTGCGCTTTCTCTGTACTCTTTCAAAATAATCGATGAAAGCTTTTCTTCTCTCACAGTACATTTTTTTTACATAACAGATACTTCATTTCTTTGTTACCGAAATAAATATATATTATCATGTAAACCAGTTATTGTTGTCATGTCGGTTGTTATTCACTTGGTACTAATCGAGGCAGTAAACTGACCTACATGTACACAGCAGTTTTTCTTACACCGCAACAAAAACCATGCATGTGAATTGAATACTCAGTACTTAAATATCATCTGGTATTTGTGTATCTCTGCATCTAAATAGAGGTAGCCGCATATCTCCTCTATCCACCCCTCTCTCTCTCTCTCTCTCTGTCTGTCTCCTAAAACAAGTCATTTTGGGTTGCCATTGAATCCCTGTTGTATTTTGCCTGTCTATATAATCATTTTTTGCTGTCACTGCAATTATTCAGGTATTATTTAAAGAGCCGCCCTTTGTTGCATAAATGTTGCTATTCATTGCGATTTTAATAAAATATTTAAAAAAAAAATATTTTATAGCAAATACTCATCAATCGGAGGGGGCGTCCACAAATGAGGCCCTTCTGATGAAGAAAAAAAATTATATAAAAATACATTTTTCATCAGAAGGGCCTCATTTGTGGACGCCCCCTCCGATTTAGGGGTGTTAGCTATCTTTCATATGACACCAATTTCACGGTGGTTCAAGGTTTCCTCAAAATTTTGAGTGTCATATGAAAGAAATTTAAATTATCTACATTTTGATAACAATAACAACGGATTAGGGATTAATAAACACTGAATTATATCAGAAAACCGTTTTTTTCCATAAATCAAAGTTGGAGATGAGTCATTTTTCGTAACTTTCCAGGAATTTGCCCATGTACAAGGACAATAGTCTGTGCATAGGAGAGGCCTATGTCCCTTTTCAGTGAAAATTTATAGCAACCCAAAGTTATTGATTTGATTTCCACAAAAACGACATTTCTGCCCACATGTGTATTAACTGTATGCATAAACGTGTACTGAGGGCGTGTTTACATCGAGTTTTAAAGATAACTTTTAAGTAAAACATCTAATCACCATGGATTTGGTCTCAAAAGATTAATAATTGAAATACTTTCAGGTTGATATCAATTTCATTGAGTTATGTAATATGTAGTGTGTGAAATATAATTTTGAGCCGAAAAGGTGCTTTTTGGTAGGTATCTTTTCCCTCTAATTATGGCCAGTGTTTCGGTATATTAACTGGACAAAAGTGATTGGACATTTACTAGTGCAGAAAGTTGAAAGGATTTGGAGTGATGATTACAATTGAAAAAGTACTTGATACTGTACTCTGATGTTTCAGGAAAAATGAGAATTGGCAGTTCCCCCCCCCCCCCCCCCCCAAGACTCCTGACAAAGGCTTTCCCCTGCACCCCATTCGTAAAGATAGAAGTGGTTCCCAAGACAACCTTTTGTTGTATAAAATTGCAGAGAGTGTGAGTTTTATATGTCAACCCCTCACTCCCCTCTCTCTCTCTCTCTCTCTCCCTCTCCCTCCCTCTCTCTCACTCTCTCTCTCTCTCTCTCTCTCTCTCTCTCTCTTTCACTCAATCGACGCCAGTGCTTTACTTTTTACAAGGGGCTTCCACTGATAACTGCCAATGACAAATGTGTCATTTTTGGTAGAAAATAAAGATACACGTATCCTAAGGAAATAGATAAGTTATGGAGCTGATACATATTCAATAAATTTAGCTCCCGAAATATCGGTTGCGGATGAGTCCTTATTGGACTAAACGTTATAACTCTTAGTTCCCTTTTTTGGCTTAATGATAATGTTTATTTCATAATTACTTCCCAAAACTTCAATTCCGTATGTCATGTGTGGTCAAATTCAGAATGAAAGGCGGGTTAAGGCATTTTCATATTGTCACTACTTTATGCTTATAGCGAATCCAAGGTGAATAATGAAATTAATATTTTAAAAATCTATAGATAAAACACTGGCCTGCGAACCCTTCCGTTACAGAACCACAAGTGGCCTGAGTCAGGCGCGGATCCAGGATTTCTTAGGGGAGGGGGCCCAACTTTTTTTTTTTTTTGCTCCCGAAAATTTGAAAATCGCGCCGGCCGAAAAGTCGCTCAGTGGGGGGGGGGGGGGGGGGGGGGGGGTACAGAGCACAATTTTTTTTGCTCCCAAAAATTTGAAAATCGCGCCGGCCGAAAAGTCGCTCAGTGGGGGGGGGGGGGGGGGGGGGTAGTGAGCACATTTTTTTTTTTGGTCCTCAAAAAAATTTCAATTTGCACCCCCCCCTTGAGCGCCAGGGGGGGGGGCCCAACCCCCAAAAAGGTAAAAATCACGTGATTTTACATGATTTTTTTCTCAAGGGGGGGGGGGGGGGCCCCCCCCGGGCCCCCCCCCCTGGATCCGCCACTGGCCTGAGTGTTCCCGTGCAGGAAAATTTCAGAAATGAAAATGGGAAATTCATTCCCCACATCCACCCCTTCGGAGCAATACACTAAGCTTTTGAAGTTTGAAATTTGTGAGTTCTTGATTATTCTCCCTCAGAAAAGTGAACATTTTAAAATACGAGTACCCAAGCCACGCCCCAACTGGGTTGACAAATAGCCAGTGTGACATGCGTTGTCTTTGAAATGACATGCTGATTTTGCAAGACAAAATGCAAACCAACAATTTTGGGTGCGAAGAAGTTGTTATTTAAACTCTATACAAGGGCAATAGAAGTATTGGGATTTGGTTTGTTTGGCAATATAAGGGACTTTCGTGCGAATCTAAAAGTCCCTATTGTCACC